GTTATTTATATGCATATATGTATAAATGGTCACCGTTAGGTATGAGCTTATGTACACCTATTCTATTTTAGTGAAGTTCTGCTATATATACAGCCGTGAATTTAAACGGTATGGTTCTTTGTATATGAACAGTTAAAGAGGCGTCAAGCTCACAAATATTTTTAAAGCACAACGCGAAGAAACGCATCGCTAATAAAAAGTTATTAAAGTTCGCTTAAAAAGTTGTGTGTCTTTTTTATTAAAGTCGTCTCGACGACAACAACGGGTATAAAATTAAATAGGTTTAAGAAAGATAACTGCTGGAAATAATTTTTGAGGTATTTGAAAATTTTAACTCAGTTAAATTGATAAAGTTAATGAAATATTGCCATGTGGGTGTCAAACTAAAGAGTTTTAAGAAGGCTTACAGCTAAAAATATTTTTGAGGAGGGTTGCCACCTGTTTGAAAATTTAACTCAACTTAATTAATAAAATAAATGAAGGCTGTCACCAATTTGAAAATTTGAACTCGAATGCTCAGTATGTTGCCGTAGGTTGCACCAATGTATTTTCAATATAAACCGATAAAATAAATAAACGAAAAATTAGTACTTCGTCAAATATGTTTGATTTATTATTATTTATGTTTGGATATGTACAAATGTAAGGCGAATACGGAATATTATCTTGAGTGTTTGTGACGATGGATGGTGGCTGATGGTCGTTTAGGGTTGAATACGAGAAAAGAAGTGCCCGCGCTATTTTCTAACGAAAGGTATTTGAAAAATCTTGATTTGGAAATATTTTCAATAGGATTGTCACCTATCTAAAAGTAAAGACTGAAAATAATGAAATAAAATGAAATATCACATAAATGGTTCCCAACGAAAAGTGTTTAGGAAAGCTTAACTAGAGAATTTTTTTTTTAATGTTTCCACTTTTTCAAAAGCCGAAAAGTTTAAATCAGAGCTGCTCACTCCATAAGCACTTGTAGCACATTTGTTTTTTGTTTTGCCCTGAAGTATAGGCACATATACAAATTTACACTTT